AAGGCAGCTTCACGATCTGGCCCCCAGCTTGTTCGGCTCATAGCCCTAGTTCCTAAAGGATGCTCGGCTGGGAAGGGAGACTAGAGCCTGGGGAGTGAATGTGTGCCCAAGTTCTCCCTCTTTTCCCAAACTCCCAAGCTCAGAGGACTTACCTGTCCTGGACGGGACTCTGGATCGGGTGCCCTGGTTACAAGGCAAGGGCTTCAAAATTCGAGCTGCCTGAGGGTCCCTGGATTTAGAGTCCCAAGCACTGGGACCCCTCTGATGCAAGATTCGAGGTGGCGTCGATTTGCTGTGGAGGAACTGAAGTACACACGTGTACGTACGTACGTACACACACACACACACACACACACACACACACACACACACTCAGTGCTATTGTTTAACTGATTTTGCTCTTAGTTGGATTGTTAGCAGTTGACGGGGGAAGGGCAGAGGGCAGTGAGGCCCCAGTCCCTTACCCACTGCTCTTGCCTCAGTCACCTGACATACCCCTAACCCACGAGGGAGAACTGAGCCAGACAGAAAGTGGAGGGCAAATGCCATGGCCTGACGTAGCAGAGCAGAGCTCAGCCCAAAGGCCTAGGCCTTCCCGATGAACCTGGAGTTCCTGGCTTGGGGAATAAGCACTGACACAAACCAGGCACTGTGCATGTGGTGCATGGGCACCTCTCAGTGGCCAGCCTCCCTTCCTTCTTCAGCTTCTACCTTGTCAGTCAATTGACAAGCATCTCCTCTCCCAGTGTAACAGGCTGACCTTCCCCCTCAAGGACACAAATGCCTAGGAAGTAAGTGCATCACGGCAGTGCCAGACACAGGAGAGGGCAGCTACTCACTTGAGACACCTTGACTGCCGAGGGTGGATTATTCCCTGCCTTGGCAGGTGGTTCTGCTTCCTTCATCCTGCCCGCCTCACAGATCCTGCCTTTCTGCTGCCTAGCTCCTGGAGATGCCAAGGGTTCCCTTCTGGACTTGCACAGGACAGGCAAGTGGGAAGTTTTGAAGGGGACAGGTGACCATCTTTTCTGCCCAGGCAGAGGAAGGGCCTGATGCCCCCTCCTGGAAACAGCTAAAGAGGCCCCAGCCAGGGATCGGTTCTCCTGGCCCAGCTTCCCCAGAGGGCCACTTTTTGGGGTGGCCTTAGGCGGGCTGCCTGTGGCTACTCGAGGCCTCTGGGGGCGTCTGGCACTGGGCTGGGCCGCCTCAGCCACACCGGGTGCTTCCTGAGCTTGGGGGATCTCTGGGAAGGAGAAAAAAGATGCCCCTTCAAGCAGCCTCAGCCCTTCTGGAGCTCCATATGGGGTGGAGGTCCCAATGGGAGCCCTGCTAAAGAAGAAAGTCTTATTGATGAGGATGTCTGAGAGGTCCTGCACTTGGAGGAGAGCCCCTTCCTCACTGGCCTGGTCATCTGGAGCCTGGCTGCCTTCTGGCTGGGCTGCTTGAGGCAGGGGAGTGCCTGAGCTAAGCAGACAGGTCTTATTGAGCTCAGTGCTTGGCTGGGGGGCCAAGGAGCAGGGATCAGCAGCCTGCACAGCATCAGGCGACAGGCTACAGAGCTCCCATCTGACCAGACTGCCAGGGCTGGCAGCCTCCTCCAAAGCTAGCAGCCTTTTGAGAAACAGAAGGCCCTGGTCACTGGGGGTGGCCGGGGAAGGCTCCTGCACAGGGTCGAGAATAGCGGGGGGAAGTGAGCGGTCACTGGGCTGCACCTGGGCCTCGTCACTGCTTGGTAGGTCCAGAAAAGAGGCGGAGGAACTCAAGTCGGGAGGTGGGAGCTCGGCTTCTATGGTAGATATATCTGCTCCCCCCTGACCTTGCAGCTGCTCCGAAATGACCTTTGCCTCTTCGGCAAAGCTAGCTCTGTACCCAAGGGTGTTGCTGGGAGACTGCTGAAAGGGGAAAGGACACAATTCCATACATCAATTAGTAAATGCTTGTGGACTGACTGTTTGATCATCTGGGGTCCGCCCGCCCTCGGGCCCCTCCCTTCTCCGCAAAGTACCGAGGCTGCCACAGCTCTCCACCTGCAGGGACCCAAAGCCCTCGCCCACCAACCCCGCCCCGCCCTGCCCGGGATCGGGATCGGGAACACGAGATCCGGCCAGGCACTCCCGGCACTGCTCCGCCCCTCACCCACCCCGGAACTGCTCTCGGCCCCGGTGTCCTCAGGAGGCCCTGGAGACATCGCTGAGCCAGCCCCGCGTTCTCTTTCAGGGGGTGGGGTGGGGGGAGGGGGCTCGAGGCCCCGGGAGGGAAAGGATCCGAGGGCCGCAGGCAACATTTGAACCCAGGCTCCCGGCGCCTGAGCAGGGCGGGGCTTTTCCTCCGGGCCCAGGGAAGGCTCCAAGGACTGGGCCCCGGGAGAGAGGTTACCATGGCAACTCGCCGGTCTCTCGCTGCGTCCGTCCGGGAAGCAGAAGAACTCGAAGAACTCGAAGAACTCGTGGTCGGGAGCACCTTTGCTGCACGAGTCGTCGTCGTCCCAGCAGCCTCGCTTTCAAAACCGGTGCCGCGCCCCTATAGGGCTTCCCTGCCGGCCAACCACCGCCTTGCTCGTAGGCCCGCCCCTCGAGGGCTCGGCCAATCCGGAGAGCGCAGCGGAGCGACGCAGGCGGCGGCCAATGGAGCGCCCGGGTCGCTGTGGGAGCCGCCCCGAGGGGCGTGGCTTGCGGGGCCTGCGGGGCCTGCTCCGGGTGGGGGCTGGGAGGTCGATCGAAGGCTCGCCCCCTCCTTCTCTTGGGGGTAGGGGCAGAGGCGCGGGGTTGGACTGGGGGGCGTACGAGCAAGGCGGTGGTGCGCCGGCGGGGGAGCCCGAGAAGCGGGGGGGGGGGGGGGTGAGACATACAGAGACGGAGACCCATCAGCTGGGGAGGGGAGGGGGGAGGGAGGAAGGGGGGAGGGGAGACCGAGACCCAGAGACCCATGGGGAAGAGAGACTCCCAGAGAGACACAGAGAGAGAGAGAGAGAAAGGCACCTGTGCCTCCCCACGTAGGGCAGCCTAGCACCATCTTAGCTGGCATTCATCTAAGGATTTACAAATATCATCTCATTTGATCCTTAAAATAATTCTATGGAGAAGGTGCTATTGTTATCTCCATTTTACTGATGGGAAAGCTGAAGCCGAGAAAGATTAAGTGACTTGATCAAGATCACACAACTAAGAAAGTGTCTGGAGCAGGATTTGAACTCGAGTCCTGGAAAACCACCCCCTCCCATAGTCTTTCCACTCTGCAACCTAGAGACTCCCTGACCACTTCTTTCTCCTTTCCTCCTGTCTCTCCCTTTGAATTGAACCCCTCTTCCAAGGGAAAGACAGGAAGTGCACATCGCTCCCTCTCTGTCAGCCTTTGGACTTGAATTCCCTGGAAGCCCTTTGCTTGGGGACTGTCTCTGTCCTTCTGGAGTGAATTCCTGAGAATCCCCTTTCCCCAAAGATTGGGAGCATGCCTCTCTCCCTCTGTCGCTCTGTCGCTCTGTCGCTCTGTTCTTTTAAAGTGACCTTTTCCACTGGAGAAGACTACTTGGGGCATTAGCCGGAGTCTATCAGAAATGAGTTGTTATTTGTTAACATACAAGCTTGTCTGCTGGACGAGACCTTCAGAGCAACCCGAACACTGACTGGTTACCAGAACACTGAGGTTCAGTTTGCAGCTTCCATTTTAGGGTCCTGACAGAAATAGCAGGCGCTGGTGCTGGAGGGCAGGGCGTCATACCTGGTTACTGAGTCCTTTTCCTCCCTACTAAGGGACCCTTTTGGGCCCTTCACAGCTCCATTCCATAACTCCTGAAATGTCTGCTGAGAGGTGTGCAGCAGCGAGGTGATGAAGTGGACAGAGCCCGGGCCCGGAATCAGGAAGACCTGAGTTCAAATTCAACCTCAGCCACTTACTAGCTGTGTGACACTAGGCAAGTCACTTATAACCTCAGGTTCTTCAGTTGTAAAATGGGGGTAATAATAGCACTTAGCTCTCAGAGTTGTTGTGAGAGTCAACTGAGACATTTGTAAAGTGCTTAACACAGTGCCTGGCACATAGTAGGTGCTTCATAAACGCTTGTTTTCTTCCTTAGGTCTTGACTCAGATCTGGAGTCTCCTAAAGAGGGGAGGAGAAAAGCACTCAATGGATAGTGTACATCAAGAATGCCTGGCACATAGTAGGTGCTTAATAAATGCTTGTTTCCTTCCTTAGGTCTTGACTCACATCTAGTCTCCCAAAGGTAGGGAGGAGAAAGGTATTCAGTGGATAGTATAGCATAGGAAATATGTTTATTTCCTCTTCATAAAAGAAATGCCAAACACAAAGTAGGGCATAAAGGTTTATACTGACAGAAAACAAAAACCTTGGAGAAGCAGCAGTATATATAGCAGTATTACTAGTGTTACATTGTCCTGGGAGATTGGTGCTTGAAATATCACGGTATGATGAAGTGTGCGGGCATTTTACATTTCACCTCTGTCTCTGCTGTCCAAACAATTTCCTGCAGGTCCATGTCTTCTGTCATACCAGGCCAGGGTAAGACAACCCTCTTCCTGTCAGTAGCCATCCTCTCTGATGCTCCTGCTCTTTCTTGCCTCCAATTGAGAGACCTATGATATCTTGACCCCTTTAATTTATAGGACTAAGGTGGGATTTGTCCATGTAAAGATGTCTATGTTCAGGACACGCAAAAATCAAAGAACAGCCAGGGGGTCCAAGGCCCAGTTTCAGCTTCCCTCAGCGATCCCTTGCTTTACTTGCTGAGTGTGGTCAGAGATACCCTGCTGCTAGTTATGGCCAGTTGTTGGAAATATTTTCCAGAAACCAGTTACTCCCTGTGGCCATTCCTTGTAAGGATTCCCCTTTCCATGTAGTCCAAGATGAACAAAGAGATTCCTCTCTCAGTTGGGTTAAACAAGAAGACATTCTCACCCTTGGTTTAACCACAGGGCAAACCTTTACAAGCCTAGTTTCAGGGAATCAAGGCTCCTCCCAGAAATTATCTGATGTTCAAGGGCGACTGCTTCTGGTTTTGATTTAAATGAGACCAAGGACATTGCTGTAATCGACTTTGCTATGTTTTGTGTCACATCTGAGGCCCAAAAGCTCTATGCTTCCTCAGCAGCAGCAGTTTGGTGGCTGACTGACCTTCCTTTGACCCTGGGGGCTGCTGGGTTGAACGGTCTGAGCATCAAACTCACCTTTTCCATGTCCTTCCCAACTTCTGCAGAATGGCCCTTTCCTCCAGCAGGGCAACTCTTTTACTGTGTCTGCATAATCCTTTGAATTGTATTCATTGGAATTTCATTTTTCTTATTTGTTTGACTTTGTAATTTTTTTAAAAATTTTGAACTTAACAGACATTCGGACAAAATGGACATTTCCTTAGACATTGTAGCCAAGGAGTGGAGGAGTGCACATAAAATGGCCAATCTGTCATCTCCAGCTTGCTCTTCAAACCAGCTCTAAGGCATAGAGGGAGTCCAGTTAGCCAAGGCCTGGGAGTGGCTCTGTTCTGTCAGGATGATCTTAAGAGAAGAACAGAAAGGCCAAGAGGAATATACTGGGACATGGGGGAAAAAGAAGGGAAAGGGAAAGGAAGGTTAGGGAGAATTATCTCACCTAATTATCCTGCTCACGTGGACACCCATACATGGAGCAGCAGGCAGTGGGGGTGAGGCTAGCCCTGGAACCTTACTTTCATCTGAACGGGTCAAAAGAAGAAGATACATACACATAAAATACACATATATACACATACACACATGTACGCAGATATAGACATACATCTATACGCATGCATACATACACATGCATTTACAGACACACAAACACAACACACCCAGATACACAGACATGCACGCACACATACACATATGCACACACACATATGCACACATGCACATATATACACCTAATCACCACACATACATAAACACATGTATATACATATACACACATGTGTACATATATACACACATAAACACACGTATATATACATATACACATCCATATAGATACACATAAATCGACATGTACACACATATGCACACACACATAAATACGTACACATACAACCACAGAGCTGAGTACAAAGATCCATTTTACACATTAGGAAAATAGCAGGGGAAAGGGAGAGGGGGGAATTAGAAGATGAGGAGGTTAAGGGAGGGATTAGTCTTGAGAAAAACAAATTCTAAGGATTTACAAACACATTGCTAACTTTTTGAGGTGGCCAGCAATGGAACTGTGGGAGAGTGCCCATCATTGCGGAATGGCTGAGAAGGTTAAGGCATATAAATGTGATGGAATATGATTATGCTGAAATCTTATCAGCCTCATGACCAAGCAGGATTTTAAAGGACTAGCCACCCCCGCACCCGAGAAGTGAAAGACTCAGGCTGCAGAATGAGAAGATTTCTTCTGGACGGGCCCGGTATGACAATTGGTTTTGATTAACTATCCATGTTAGTAACAAGGGTTTTGGTTATTTTTCGTTCTCAATTGGGTGAGAAGGAGGAACTTGGCTGATTAAAACAGTTTTAATTGAAACAAAACAAAATTATGAAGGACAAACATGACTTGAAAGAAGAAATCTAGGGGCAGCTCGGTGGCGCAGTAGATAGAACTCTGGCCTTGGAGTCAGGAGGACCTGAGTTCAAATGTAGCCTCAGACCCTTGACACTTACTAGCTAGCTGTGTGACCCTGGGCAAGTCACTTAACCCCAATTGCCTCACCAAAAAGAAAAAAAAGAAGAAATATGAGAAGGCACTCCCCCCACCCAGCTCAACCCACCCCTTTGCAGAAATCAGTCAACGGGTAAACATTATTAAGCCCCTACTATGTGCCAGTCACCGTGCTAAGCAGTGGGGATACACAAAGAGGCCAAAGACAGTCCCTGCCTCATTGAGCTCATGATCTAAAGGGGGAGACAGCACACAAACAACTAGGTAGAAACAACCTATTGACAGGATAAATTGGAAATAATCCCCAGAAGGAAGGCACTAGAGTTAAGGGGGATCATGTAGAAGGTGGGATTTTATTTTATTTTTAGTTTTCAACAT